CACAGGGACAGCGAGTCTGTAATTTAATCTGGATGAATGAAACATTCAGTAAATTCAAATAAGAAGTATATTTTAATCTAAAATATGTCTATGAGATTGTAAGCAGTATGACAAACTACTCATTACATTATAATAAATAATATGATCTGAAGTTAGGATGAAGAACAGCTTGCTCTCCCTTGAGAGGAAAACTAAACAGTGTCCACTATCTCTCCCTCACTTTCTTGCGTAATTCTCAGGACATTCCCAGGTACCAGCTGAGCGGACTCTCTCCCACAACACACTTTCAGAAACCACCAGCTGTCAGGTAAAAACAGTAAAAAAGAGAATAGCAAAGTTGAACCCAATTACTGTTACAAACAAGGGGAGGTCATTTGGCCAATGAGCCCATATGGTTGCTTGTAGCTAACAGATCTAATGATCTATTTCCATTAAAAGAAGTTAAAGGTCACTTCATCAACATTGTGTAGCTTTTTTCAGATACTTACAACTCGTTTTACTACGAACCCTTGTTTATCACATCTAAATGCACTTTCCTATAGTTTCCATCTGTGTTCACAGGTTTGTTTCATTGTTTGCGTTGACTTCATTAGTATAGGTATGTTAATGACTTTGAGGATTTTCAACATGGGAATCAGGTCCACTTTCAAAACTCTACATTCAAAGATTTTGGTTTAATGTTTTCTTGACTTGTCAGTACATTGAATCCGGTCTGATACCATATATATTGAATCTGGACTGCTAAAACTCTGAACTTGTTTGTAGTAAGTGACATTTGTCATTTATTTTCCTAATCTTGAATTTTGTCTGTCTTTTTGTTTTGTGTTTACAGTCTAAACATTGTTTTGTAATTTATCTGTTAGGGTATTAACTGCAAGTTTTAGAAGTTTAATAAGTGTAACAAAATATAGAGCAATGATTTCATTTAGAAAAGGTAATCATCCTAATTAGCACAGTCTCCTTTGGTACTAATTAATTATGTCAACCCAATTTGATTTTTCTGTCCATTAACCAGACCAAGTTCCTTACCTTGGTTGCCTACTGTCTTTAATTTTAGAATCAAAAATTAAAATTGAAATTAATTTAAATGAAAATTATATTGTATATTGGACATAAAATAGGTTTATGTCATGTGATCTTTAAAGAAACATATAGCTCTTTGTATCTAATCTATTTTATGAGTAAATTTACAATCTTCTTTCTTTTTCTTGAAAAGTAAGCTGGAGAGGAATTTGTTTTGGATTTTTAACTTGTCAAAATCAAATAATGTCAAAGTCAAATAATGAAAAATTTCACTATTTTACATATTTCACTCTCTCAGTGGCTCTAGAAATTATCTGCTGTTTTTGTGAGTTCATCCACCTATTCTGTGCATGTTCAAACAGTTTAAAAGATGTGCAAAGGATATCTGTGTATAGTTTTAAAATTAAGGCTTGCTTCCAGAGAAGAAAAAAAATCAACTATTATTGTTTGTTTTCTGTTACAGAATCCTCAGATAAGAACAGAAACCTACACTGCCTTGGCTTTTAATGAAACTAGAGCTAAACACACAAAAACAAGGAAGGAGCAGGAGGGAAGAGTAATATACAGTCAAGTCCATTTTCAGGCAAGAAATGACAAGAAGTAAAAAAATGTCAGATATCAATTTGTTCATTGAGGCCTGACTCTTTCCATAGACAGAACATAATCGTTAATTAGCAGGTAATTGACTAAGTTCTTAAATTGGTTAGTACAGTAACATGCATACTTACAAGTTTGAACTTAAAACAAACCACCAAATTAAAAGACCACCCAATCCACTCAATGTTACTCTTTCACACAATATATAATTCGCTGTGCTTTAGATGTCATTATGACCATCTGTACTGGGCACTCCTTTACATCGGAATTAGTTTTATTTCTTTCTCCATCCTTCCTTTTTCTAAGGACTGTATCCAATACAGTCGCAAGGGAGCTGGATCCTATCAATGCAAGCACTGGGTACAAGGCAGGATACAACCTGGACAGAATGCCAGTCCATCACAGGACACACACAGACACAAACATATACACACTCAAACCAGGGCCAATTTATCTACCAATATGTCTTTGGACTGTGGGAGGAAACTAGAGTACCTGGAGGATATCCATGTAAACACTGGGAGAACATACACACTCCATGCAGATAGCAATCCAGGAATTGAACCTGGGGCCCCAGAACAGTGACACAGCAATGGTAACAACCATATAATTGTGCTACGCTGTCCTGTTCCATTTTGTGCTCAATTGCATTGGTATTGTCTTAGTAATAGGGCTGCTGTGTAATGTGATTGTGGCTGTGTATTGAAGCAACTTAAAAACAATTAATATGAATAAGATTGGTGTAGCCCATTGTTTCTGAGATATAACCATTAGCTCTGCACTGTGGTGCTTGGGTGCATTAATATACTGGCTAAAACATATTATTGCAGAATTGAAGTTCTTTCATATAGTTCAAATAAAGGTGTCATACAGCTTATAATACCAAAACAGTTTGTCCAGGGAGGTCTGTCTGTGTCCACAGAGACTAAATTTTCTTTCTTTGAATAAAATGTAGAAAAAAATGTCTTTGCCTACTGTACTTTTTAACATTATCCTTCTAATGTCTGTTATACCCTACAGAAGACCCGATATACAGTGCCTTGCAAATGTATTTAGATATTTGCATAGTCTCCACTTTTCCTTGTATGGAAGCTTGCAGTCATCACAGTCTTTCTCATAAAAATCAGCTTTTTAAACAAAAAGTGAGCACTGTTTTTTTGCCTTTTTGCTAAAATTAGCAGAAAAGGGCAGCAATTGTTTAAAAAATCTATTTTTATATTTACAAAAATGAAACACCTTGTGCATCTGTATTTCTGCCAATCATTTTTTTTTATCTGTCATTAGGTTTCATACTTACATAAAGTAGCATACATAGAGTAACTAGAAGATAGCGGACAAAGAAAGTACCAATAAAGAAAGCACCGGTATTGTCACGCCCCACACTTTCCCTCGCAAACGACGTTACATTCCCGGAACCTCTGCTTCCCAATCTTATCCCCGATTGAACCCAACACATTCTCACATGCATCATATTCCTCAAATTCTCACTCCCTAACCAATCATCCAATCACACCCCTTTCCTTTCAGTATTTAAACCCCCTTCGCACACCTTCCCATGCTCACTATTGAGAAGCCTTTCTTAGTATTCTCCAGTGTGTGTTTCCAAACCTTTTGATTGATCTCCTGTTATGAATCTTCTGCTTCCACCTCTTGACCTCGCCTTTGGATTTTGTCTCTTGGATTTTCCCTTTGCTACTTTGTGTCCTATGGGATTCCAGTCATGCATAAGGATCCTCCTATTCCACGTATAGGTTCCCTGACAGGTATGCTATTGTCTCTGTAACTAGATCCCTAGCTTAGCTATGGTGTGTGCCTTGTCAGATCTGAATTTGTTAAACTCCTGCATTATTTGATTTTTTTTCATTTATTTTTTTATATGCTGACCACATACACACATTTGCATGAAACCTAAGTCTGCTGTACAGTCTTCCACACTTAAGAGTGAATGAAATACATACAGTATGCCACCCAAATGTGTTGACTTCTAAAAGCCAAACCCAAATTCCTATAGTGTTTCATCGCATTTGTTAAAACATACATAAAGACAGGTCAGGTGGTCATTGGAATATTAAAGCTTTCAGTACCAACCCCACATGGTGATTGTGTTAGACGAAGCCTTAAGGTATGTTAAGAATTTATAAAACAGGATCAAACCAAAAGCTGCCAAGACCATCAATTTATTTCTTACAGGAAAACAATTGCATGGTAATATTTTGTTCCAATTAGATACCATGAAAATCATCTACTTTTTAAAATAGATCAGTTGTTTTGAATAATTTGAAACTTCAGAGGTCTCTAACCTTCTCTTAGAGGAGGTTAATGTTACCTGTTTTGTTTTAAATTGCACACCCAGAGTGTATACTAGCACTGTTTTCCATTTTATTCATTTAGAACAATGGGTCTAATAATGATCCCTGAGGCACTGCACTAGCTTCACCACTCAATTGAGAGATTTAGAGGCACATTGCCTTAGATTTGTCCAGCTTCAAAATCACAAATTATTTTATGATAAACATTGTTGCATGTGTTTTGAAATTGAACTCTTATGTCATAAGCTCTGCATGCATCCATAATTTGTTAGTTGCTCAGAGTAATCTAATAACTTACTTAATCAGGATCTATGATTTTTAACTTCATAATTATTAACCTCTATAATTGAACTCTTAATTTAAACAGTAATGTAATGTAACTCTAATGTCTTCATAACTTTACACATAATAGTCATAGGAGTGATTGGTGAATTTTTTTTTAAAAAGTTAAAAATTGTCAATAAAAATGTGTCCTACTCTTGTGTGGCATTTGTAGCTTTCCAAATATTAAGCACACCTCTTGGTGTGAGTAACTGTTGAATCACATTCCTGAACAGAAAAGTGTAAGCAGTATTTCTGATATGTTGAATTACACTAGCACATGAAAAAGGTTAGTGTTATATTTTCAACAAGTGTTACATACAGTAACAACTTGTGAGCTAGTCATATTAAGTCTTTTTATAGTAATTAATTCATAAAGGTTTGAAAAGGATTGTGAGAGAACAATTATATTTAGAAAACAATAGGTTTATGTTCTCTTAGTGAAGTAAAATATTCAATGCTTGGCCTTAACGCAACAATGAGGGCCAACTTGCAACTTCCAGAAAAAACAAACAAACCTAACTGCTGACCTACAATATTATTGCCATAAAAACTGGTAATGCATCTCAGAACCTTGATTAAGTGTCTAAATATCAAGTAAAATTTAAGTTTTAATTTAATTTTTTAATTAAAAAAAAAGTGTTATGCTGCTACCACCGGTAAACTGTTCTGTAGCCTGATGCTTTGTTAATGCCCAAGCTCAGGTCTCAGCATGCTGATAAAAGTGTTAAAATAGAAGTAGTGAATGTCAGGATCAGAAAATATAAGACAGATTGTTAAGATCTGTCTATAAAATAAGCGAGGCCCCCAACTGAAAAATAAAAGAGGAAAAATCTGGCAGACCAATGGTGTAAAAAAATCCAAAACCAGGAAAAAAAACAAAAAGGCAAGGAAAAATATCTATGGATAAAAGAGAAAAAGGAATTAGTATAGTCTTTTTTTATATTTGTCCAATTTGTCTCAAATTTTTATCCAAGTAAGTAAACACATAGGGCAAGGTCTACAAGCATATTGAGCTAATTTCCAGGGTCACAACTTGAAAAATTTATCTTTGAAGGCAGGATGAAATTTCTGTCTATATTGTAGTCTGCTTTATTTAGAAGGCAGCATATCTTTTCTTTCAATTAAGTAGCTGTGCAAACATGCATAGGCTGCAAAGAAACTCCACAAATGAATGATCAGCAAGGTGGGCATCAGAATCAAACTCAATAGCATCTCAGCCAATCACCAACTTGTGATGTTGTACATTACTAATTTTCACTGGTTAAACCTACTGGCTCCTCATCTCTCCAACTGAACATGTAATCTGACCTTTCCAACAATGTCACTGCAAACAGTCCAAGTCAGGACTTAAACTTTTCTCCATGATGCTGGGAACCAAAATATTGAGTCAGGAAAGTACAGAATTCTGTTCAAGATATTCTCTCTGAAGCAGAAGAAATCTTGTCTTTGCAAACCCACTGTTTCTTCGATGGATCAATGAAATTAGGTAGTTGGAGTCTTTCTTTTTGTCAATATGTAGAATATCCATGCTAATTCTGAACAAAGATATACCTGGTATGAACCGAGTTCCCCTTAGTCTACTTTGCAGCCGGGACCCAGAAAACTGCGTTGACTGTTATTTCAAGACCTAAGTTCAGACATGTTAACTTTGGCAGAGCAGCCTGAATACCAATGTTACTCTCTGGTTCCGGCTGAGAGGCTGCTGCTCCTCTCACCAGATTTACATTTTTTCATTAAAAAGAAAATTGTATCTACTTCTCATTATTTTTTTCTTTCTCTTCTGCCCTGGTTTCTAATTATTTAGTTTTATCTGCTTCACATTGCAATTTACAAACGTGACTTCCACTTGCATTGTGACTGCTGCTTCTACTGCCGACTACTTCCTATTGAAATTGTTCAGCTGAGGACTTTTAACCACCTGCTACTGCATTGATTCTGGATTTCCTCCACGTCTTGATGCATTGTCGCGGATTCATCGAACATGCTTCTAAGGTACACCTCACTGCAACTGCTGCAACTAAAACAGAATTACTCCCTGGTAAAAGACACATTTGATTAGAATATGCTGTCACATTTTAATTACATAACCTTCTCATTGTAAATAACTTTTTTGAATCCCTCCAATATGGCTTCCATCAACTTCACAGCACAGAAACTGCCCTGGTCAAAGTTACTAACAATTTTCTAATAGCTTCTGATTCTGGCTCTCTCTCTATGCTCACTCTTGGGAGATTTAAGTCTGAAATTGGTCTCGTTAAGGCTGGTGTTCCTCAGGGTTAGATACTGGGTCCCTTACTTTTCAGCATTTACATGTTTCCACTTGGTCAGCTTTTAAGATCACATGGCCTCAACTATCATTTTTATGCTGATGATACTCAAATATACATCCATACCAAACCTGATACGAATGTGTCTCTATTCTATTTAATTGCATCTCTGACATAAAAACTTGGATGACTCAAAATTCCCTTCATCTTAACTGTTACAAGACTGAAGTCATGCTTATTGGCACCCCATATCAACTTTGTAAAGCCAATCCTGTAACCCTGTATGTGGATGGTACTGTACTTGAGCTTCAGTCTAAATTGAAAGAGCTTGGGGTTATATTTGATTCAGGCTTAACATTCGACCTACATACGCAGCAAATTGTTAAAACATCTTTCTTTCACCTCAGAAACATCACTAGACTACACCCTATGTTTTCACTGACTGATCAACACATTTGTCTTCTCCTGAATTGACTACTGTAATGCTCTACTCGCTAGAATATCTAAATCCACATTGAACAAACTCCAGTATGTCCAAAATATGGCAGCCAGAATCCTGACCACATCTAGTGCAAGTGATCACATTACGTCTATCCTGGAGTCCTTGCACTGGGTTCCTGTCAAGTTTCATGTTGATGTCAAAATTCTCATGTTTACCTATAAGGCTCTACTTGGCTTGGCACCTCAGTACCTGCGTGATCTATTATTGCCCTACTCCCTATCTCACAACCTTCGCTCCTCTAATTCTGGTCTCCTAACTGTCCCCCAAGCCCATCTACACTCTATGGGTGATAGGGCCTACTCCTGTTATGCCCCTAACCTCTGGAACTCTCCCCTTAAGGATATCAGACTCAGCTTCTCTAAACTCCACTAAATCCAGACTCAAAACCTTCTTCTTTAGAATAGCCTTTACTTAACTGGTTCCATTCTTTACCCCTCTGCTCCTACTGTATTTAGTACCACCATCTAATGTCTCCTCTACATATTCTCATCGTGTTTATCTTGTGTATTTTTTATTGTTGTTGTTATCATTCTGTAAAGCACTTTGAAAAGCCACCTTTAAAGGTCCTATATAAAATAATGTTTATTATTATTATTACTTAATCAACACTGGGTAAAATTCTCTCTCTCCTCTCTGCAACCAGGAAACTCCCAGCACAGAACAGCTGAAAGTAGGATCATGAACAAATCTGAGCTCCAAATCTGTAGAAATTTTAACTCATAAAGGACTCCGAAGTTATTAACATCGATCTTTGTAATTCCACGGTCTGCATGAGTGAGACTCTTAATTTTCCAATTTTGTTTTGCAGTTGAGTTATGAACTACCTGGGTCAACCCCTTTAGAAAATTATAGTTCCTTTTCACATTTATGATTTTTTAGCATAAACAATATCTAAAACCAATGATCTTGCAATACAGTAAGTTGCTAATCCCTAAATTCTTAAATATGTGGCTTGAAAGATGGGTCAAATCTTTGAAAGGCCCTTGAATTGCATATTAATTTAAAAAGGACACATTGAGAAACTGATGACTTCTTCTGATTTTTTTTAAAAGGTCACAGGTATGAAGTATTAAGACGGGCTAGTTAAAGCCTCTTAGAAAGAGCAGGCAGTTGCTTGCTAATGTCCACTTTTTAAGGCCACACTAGCAACTTTTTTGATGAGGGTATAATATTGGTGACAAATTTAATTTTCCCCCACTTGGGCAAATAGAGAAACAAAATTGCAGACATTGTTGTTCTTACACCCAACATAGAATGCTTGAACTCAGCAGACAGGGTTACTGACGGTCAAAGTCGCCATACATGGTCACGTGATCATCCAAAAATGAAGGCGATAAATCTCAGGAACAAAAGCAGTTGGGAAGTTACTTTTAATGGTAAAAACCGGTACAAATGCAGCACTAACAAATGAGGTGGGTTTCATTGTTTTTTGCTGTTTGTAGGGGGGGCAACCTGATGGCGCTCACAATTTGTGATTGTTATAGTAAATTAAAACCTCACATCACCTATAGCTGAAATATTAAATAAATTCTTCTCACAATGTGCACATATCATTATATATACAGGGATATAGCAAGTGTATATTGTTCTGTGTATTTGAATAATATTCATTTTTGCAGAATTAGAGTCAGTGATCAGGAGTTTTGTATACAAGCATGTGTCTAAATATTTACGATCACAATTGTTGAAGAATTCTAATCATTAATGAGTCCCTAATTCTTCAAATTAGGATTAGTCAGTGAGGAGATAAAGATGCAACCAAGCAGATTACACACAAAAAAGCATTACTACAGTGAAATGACTTTGCCATACCATATTACACTGCCCAAAGAATCTTCACTGGCCAAAGAAGATTGAAAGTTGCCACTTGTGGTGCCTTTGATGTTAGTGAAAACATTAGCTTGATTAATCTTTTGTCCTACTTCTTCATGTCCACTTAATATGGAATATTAATATTGAGTCATGTAAATAAAAGGAAATTTTAGCCAAAAATAAAAATTCATAGAGAATTTAAATATATTAATTTCTGAATTTAAATAAAATATACAATATTAATATAGCTGTTAGTGGCAGTGTATTCCACTTTCTTCCTAAATATCTGCATTGAAGTCTAACTTGTTGCGGTTATTTTGGAAACATTTTAATGCACTTGTTTTAACTACATTTTGCTGTAGTGATTGTTGTAATGGAAAATTAAACATTTGTGCCTGCGAGCTAGAAGATTCTGGGTTGTATAGCTGCTGCTATAGTACTTTAAACAAAAAGGACTCTTTCTCTAATAGTAAAATAAAAATAAAATGGGTACTTTTTTATTTGTATATTTTATATTTAAGTTAAATATTAAAATAATATTGATAACTGACAATAATGTTGAATGAACATGGATGGGTTAGCAAAACAAGAATACTGTCAATGGCAGGAGAAAAGAAAATAGTTCTATCAGTTGGGACAAATTGATCAATTAGAAAAAATTATACATCATGTTTTGTGAAGACTGGACCTGGAATTAAAAAAATCATAAAAATATTGAATAATAAGAATAAAAACCATTGCAATTGCTATAAAAACCTTTAGACACTGCTAGAGAGCCTTTATTTGCTGTTATGCAATGAAAAAAAAACCTCAGAGTTGCCTTCTGGTGTGAAAAAAGGAGCACTGATAAGAAACTGATAAAAAACTGATTGATTACCCCTACTGAGTCAATGATTGACAGCTAAAAGGCAGGCAGAATGCAGCCTGAGGCTTCAAGAGGAAGTCTTACCCCCTAAGGGCTCTGAATGGCTGAAAATACAATGAATGACAGCACTTTTTACCAATCAGATCACCTTATTTCTCGCGGTCCTGCTTCAAACATTTACTACAAAGTCAATAACGTTCAATAGCCTCCAGGTCTGGAGATGAGCTAGTCTGGGTTATTTTGGACATATATCATGCTTCAGAATAAGGTAAAATCATGGGATATATATATTTTTGCTGGTTTTTGCTTTTGCGGTTTTGTTGCTAAAAATGTATGATATTGACATGTTGTGCTGGCCGGGTGGCCGGATGTTTTTATTGGGGTTCTGCAAGTTCATTAATTTATTGGTTTATTGCACAATAGTGTCAAATCTGTGGAAACAAACTTTATGGTTTTGTTGTGATGATATTAAAGAATACTTGCATGTGAGAAAATTTGTGGAGCGGTTTGAAAAAAACGTTGTTTATCATTCGTTTATCAAAAAAAAATGACATCCGGGCAAAGTGGGTACTGTATAGACACATGGTACGTTAAGCACTCACTGTGGCACCTGGCGGTTTTTTAATGTAGTGAAGTCCTGCATCAGTTTATTTAAAAAAAATGGAGTTGGACATTTATTGATGTGAAATACGGCATGCTCTTTGTGGTATGATGCATTACATTCTATATGGGGGCTTTAAGTTATAAAGTAACCTCATCTCAGCCAAGATGTGAGATGATTCTTTCCAGTGTACAATACACACTGAGACTTGTGCAGGAGAGCGCAATGTTTATTTGTTCAGATGTGGCTCAGGAAAATCCCTTCCAAGAATAATTAACAACCACTGAAACAGGAGTGATCAGTGCAAGATGAGCTCAGAGGCTGGGCTTTGTACACATAGCTGTTTCTCCCTCAGCCACTCCGATATTGGGACTTGGCCACAGGGAGCACTTTGCTGAGTGAAAGTAGGCACAAATAATTCTTAACTATATCAACATATTCATCCCAGTAAATCCCAAACTAGTTGGTAACTGAAGTCTGTTAAAAAATAATATCCCAAGAACGTTTTCTCTCATTTTGGCATATCCTTTAAAACAGAAAACCCTTGAATCTCAAAACATCCAATCTCTGATCTAAACCTGGCCCTATATGGATTCTATTTCAAAACAAACCTTGAAGCAAATATGAGAAAATACTTAGAATGTCCAAAGAGAGGGACATACTTTTAGCATTAGTGGTATAAATATAAATTAATCCCATACATGAAGGCAAGGGGGCCTGCTCACAGGCCCCTGTTGGGGCCTTGGTAGTGTCACACTTGTTGCACTGCTTACAGTTCCACCATTGATGATGACCCTTAAAAATTAAACAAATTCCACATTTGATAATCATGATAGCAATTAAATTTTGACTTTTTTTCAAGTATATAATTATATGTTAGATGAGACATTATGAGTTTGACTACAGACCGAGTTATAGTCAATCCATGTTTTTCCCTGTTGCTATTAACTCAAAGTCACAATGAATGTGCACTTCTTAATTATATAACTATCAAATTTGAAAACCATCATCACTATACCAGTGATTCATGCTATCAGCATAATTTTGCTAATTTAATTGTCTGTCAAATAATCTTCTCAGTCTTTGAAACATCATCACTCCTCGTGACTCAATACCATGGACTGCCCACCTCTACAAGATGTTTATCATGTTCCTATTTCAGACTTCTCTGTTAATTGAACCTTTCAAGTTGTAGAAAGCAACTAGCATCACATACAGTATAAACTGTACAGCAGTGATGAGGCACAGCACACTTCTGTTCTGCAAATCATGTGAGTTTGCACCTTCTTTGGCTGTAAGAAACTTTTTTTCTAGACAATAAATAGAGAGCACTGATGTCTACTTTATTACAAAATATTATTTTTAGAATTAACTTCATAGTTAATGAAAAATATAAACAATATAAAACTAGCTAAAGGAGGTATGGAAATGAAAGAATCAGTATTTTGTAAAGAGTCAAGTGTGTTTTTACTGTTTGTGTCTACTTTATTAGGATATGAAAATAAATAAGGAAAATAGCATGTACTATATAGATCCCAAAGTAAAATTTGCAACTAAAAAGAAAATGACATTATTTGATATTTATGTAAAAATATATTAAAATATTTCATTACCAGATTAAAACATAAGAAAAATAAAAAATTTTATGCATACCAAAGGAAATTTAATTGTTGTTTTTATGGTGAACAACCTGTGGTCCAGGTTTCATTTTGTTCCAGCTCCTGCAATCTGGACTTTCAGTGATGGTGTCACTTGGAGACTCGGTTACACTTGACTGCAACATAGACCAGAGCAGCTTAAGGAACTTATGGTTGAAGCAAGACATTGGACTGGCTCCTCAGGTCCTGTGTGAGCTGTTGCATTATGAAACCTCATCTCCATGTGCTGTAGACCCACTTAAACAACATTTGATCACAGAGAGAAACAAAGACAGATTCAGCTTGAACATTTCAGATATCAGGCCATCTGATTTGAGCACTTATTTCTGTGCAGAAGTAACTTCATCTGAAACAATTGTCTTCAGAAATACTATTTTTTTGACAACAAAAGGTAAATCTAAAATGTATAATACTTGAAAACAATGTAAAATATTTATTTTTGTAAAAAAATTAAAGAGATAGACTTTCGTATTTAAATATAATAATAGATTTAATAGGTAAATTAAATGTAATAGAATATAAATACTAATGTTTTTAGTCTCAAAATAAGCCTTGATTGTAATAAGAAATAGTTTTAGTTTCTTTACCAATGACTACAATCAGTGTTTCAATTTAGGATTTTAAATTAATTCTTTTTCCTTTAAAAGAGAAACATAATTCTAAAATGTTAAAGAACAAATGAAACAGGATTTATTTTTGATGCTAAATACTCAATCAGAATTTATTTCTGCAGATTTCAGAGGAGAGATGAAGAAGGTTGAAGTGTTTGAGACAGGTCAGCATAAGGATCATTCCACCACAGTGTGTACAATGTACAGCATCACCCATATGGGAAACTCCACTGTTAATTGGGTCGGGGATCAAATGGGAGAGTTGCTTACAGGAATCATTTACACCGACAGACTGACCAGCACTCTGTCTAACAGCAGCAGCAGCTCCCAACTGGAACTTCCAGGAAAGAAATGTGCCTACAACTTCCATGGAAAGACCTACAGACACTCTTATTCTGAAGCCCATCAGTGTGCAGTTACAGGGTGTTCTGGACTTCTTTTTAGAGACGTGTTCAAGGGCAACATTACAGGTAAGCTTTAATGTGAATTGTTAATTAGAAAGAAAATCTGATTCAATTAAAAAATATATAAATATTGGTAAACATTATTATTATTTTTATTATTTAATTATAAATAATATTCAATACAAATAAATAAAATATTAATTATTTTGTTAATGCAAACAACTAAAGTAAAACCTCAGTATTCGTGAGAATTAGGTATCTTAAAGTCTCAGCAAATATGGGACTTAATGCAAAGGGGAAATATAAGGTATGGCTCCATAGCTCAGAAAACAATAGATATCAATAGTAATATTTTTGTTACAACTATTAACTGTTTTAGGAATGGTGTTAGTAATGAAAATGAATACTTGAAAGAAAACACATTACACAATTTAAGTTATTTCAAGTGCAAACAAATATATTTGATCACTGTTATGATTTTTCTTATCCTTTTGCATGACACACATGAAATGAGATCTGAGTTATTTAATGTTTCTTTTACTGTATTTCACAAAACTGAGTCACATACAATACAAGCATTACTCTGATTTACACACAACACTGTAAACCTGAAAACCTGTCAGCAAGAGTCCGACTCCCATGAGTCGACCCAGACAGTTTGCTTGCTAAACCTTACAAAGGGAGAAGGTTCACACAGCTGATGCCAGTTCCCTAATTACCTCATGAGTATGAGATTTCCTAATGTATTTCTGCATATATCAGTTATGTCTCTAACTTCCCTCCAGTATTTTAACACCTATACAACACTCCAGGTTCCGCTGCCCTCTTACAATGTCATACCACTATCAAAAGATATTAGAGGACTTCAGAAAAAGTGTAGGTTATGCCTGGAATCTGGAAAGGTTATAAAACCATTTCCATCCACTGTTTGACAGATACGATATACAAATAATAGAATATATAAGAAAATATTCATGACCCAGGGGAATTGATCCAGGACACATCGAACTTGCAAGATCAATCCAAGAGTAACCCAGATAATCATCCAGGAATTCAGAAAAAAACACAAATTGACATCCATGGATTTGAAACTTCTCTTGCTGTGGCTATAATCAGTGTATATTCCTGAAACTTCAGGAAAAGATAGAACAGGAATGACTTTCATGGGAGAACAGCTATAAAGAAACCATTGGTCTCTAAAAGGACATTGTTGCCCATCTCATGTTTGCTATTGAATGACCTACAACACTGTAGGGTGAATGTTCCATGGATAGACAAGTCAAAATTGACTTTTTGGCCACAATGAGGAATGTTTTGTGTTAAAAAAAACAAACATTTGTCTCAACAGAAGATTCTCATCGTGAAACTCAGGTATGGTGATGGGAGTATTTTGGTTTTGGCTTCAGAACCCAGAGATCTTGGTATCAATGACAGAACCATGAATTTGGTGTTGTATCAGCAAATTCTGGAGGAGAATGTCCTTCCATCCATTCCTCAGTAGAAGCTCAGCCAAAAGTTTGTATTTTCAAAAGTCGGTAGCAGTCTTCTATACAAATAAACATATCTACAATAGAATGGCTAAAGAAGAAATTTAATATTTTGGCCTAGTCAAACTTTGGGCTTAAATTCCATTGAAATGTTATGGGAGAACCTGAAGCAAGTTGTTTATGCAAAAAGACAAACAGACCCTCAAATGACATCCACTTGAATCGGTTTTAACGAATAATGAGATGGAATTTCTAAAAGCCAATGAATGACAGAGATAAAAAGTTACAGGAATCATATAGTTGAGGTCATTGTTCTCAAAGAAATACTACCATTTATTGAATCTAAAGGTTCACATAATTTTTCTTTTTTGAATCATTTTTAAATTGAAAACTCCTGTGGAATCAAAAACTACATGCTGTGCCTGTTGAATAGAACTGTTAAATAGACCCTTTAAAAATAAAAATAAAACATTTTAGAAATGTAAAATTAATAAATGATACTCACAATTTCCAAATATATTGTACATACGTGTCTTTTGACTTTGCCCCATCATGTGAGTCAAACACATTGACAAAAAACTAAATTTCCAGAGATTCCGCACACTTTAAAGAATGCAGTGAAGTGATATTCACAGATATCCACACTGTGAATTAACTAAAGCATTATCGCTTTCCTTGCAGATTGCTTTCCTCTACTATAGATACAATTATTTACACCAATGTTTTATAAGTGATTATTAAAATGTTCTGAGTGGTGAATAGCTCAACAATATAAGGGTGAATTGCAATATTAACAATTTAAGTACAGATGCAGCCATTCAAAAGGAGCGAGATACGCTGCGGTACAACGCAGTGGGCGTGTCAAAACACAACACGTCTTATCGCGTCATACCGCATCATAGCACAGCTAGGATAATAGTATCCGGAATCAC